TCCAATGATTTCGACGACGACGAGACTGACAATTCCAATGATTTCGATGACGACGAGAACTATGGTGCCAATGGTTTCGACTACGACGAGAACTATGATTCCAATAGTTTTGACTTTGACGAGAACGACGATTCTCATTCTTGGGTAAATACAGAAATAAAGGCATTTCATTTGGTTAGGCACCGCACGCCTAATGGTTCAACAAACTCGAATTCACCTACTGCATTTCTTAGTGATTCGTTGAAAATCTACTTGAACGCTCCTCCACTTATTCGAAAAATTCATAACACGGAGACATACAGTTTAGTGATTGATCCGATCGCTGATGAATCTGAACGCATGCCTTTATCAACTCCTCAGCTGTATGTAGGCAATATACCATATTCTGCAAAATGGTATGATCTAAGAAATTGGTTTGCCGAACGCGGTTGTAACGTCAGCCGTGTTGACATGAAAAAGAATCAGGTAAGAGTAAGCTCATGAGTTTGTTTATTGTTTAGCAGTATATCACTTTTAGAAAGGTGCTCACTATGCCTTTGTTCGCTTTGACTGTGTAGCCACTGCTGCTGAAGTTCTATATCACAGTGAAAACAAAATAGCATCCTTCGTTTTTAATGATCGTCCATTATATTTAAGGCGTTGTATTTCATTCGCTCAAAAACATACGAATACTCCACTAGACATATCAAAGACGGATAATTCAAAATCAAATGTGATTTTAAAAATAACCGACATTCACTATGGTACATTAATAGCAGGAACATCTCTGAAAAATATAGAAACAGTCGAGAAGACGGCTTCAAATACTGACGGATTTGGTATCATCGCACATAGTCTTGAAATCAATCAATGCAAAGATTTTCATCTGGAAGTCAATAAAGATAAGAAAAGCATAGCAATAAACAGTGCATTGGAGTTAAAGTGGAGACCTGATTCTATTAACTCTACTATACTCAAGTTTGAATGGAGTTTTCATGAGTAAGTTCTGTTTTGTTTTAATTAAATATTTAGAACATTGATTTTTAACTCTGCTAGCATAGTATTATTGAAATGTAAATTAGTTTTTTTTTTTTTTTTTGAGTTTTCTATATCTTGATTTGTTTGAAAAGAAGAAATCTTTTTGTAATTTAGTTTGAAACGTAGAAAGATAACTTTCGTTTTAATCAATGAAAATGAAGTCTTTTTACTGATGGAAATTAAGCGACCTCCAAACCTATTGGAAACAAAAGACACTGGTTCTTCAATTTCTGAAAGTCCTGAGGAAAAACGTCTACCTGGTTTTGGGCTTATTGGTCATGCTAATGTATGGCTCTTTAAACTAGTTTCAAATGATGAGGACAATAATAATATTAGAAAGTTAATCCAGCTACTAAGTGACAATAATTTATCGTCAGGAAATTTATCTGAATCTGATATCATTTGTTCGATTAAAAATATTGAGTCTGCCAAGAAGAATCTTGAATCCATCACATTAATATCAAATGACAAGTGGATAAGAGAAAATCAAGTTAAAGTAGATAATTTCTTTAATCATCGATGGCTACTGTATCCTTTTGAAACAAAATTTGAAATCATGAAACTTATCTCGAAACATATCGTCACAGTTCATGATTTAATTGTTGATGAACGAGCTGAACATATTCTACAGTTATGTTCAATTAATACATTAGTTGCTCTTACTGGTAAATAGAAAAAAAGAAATACTATTTGATTTTGTTGTGCTAATGATGTTCATGATCTTTGCAGATAAGATTTTCGAGTTTGCTCTTCTATGGTGTGCTAAAACTTATGATAAAGAAGATGAAGATTGGAATAATCAAAATGAATCTGAAGAAAATCAATTGCCAATCATTATGGATGATCTTCCAATCACTGATGACGATTTTTTCATTTCTAAAAACATTCAATGTGCCGCTACTGGAGATTTCATCAATGCTGAAATAGCATCAAAGATGACAACCATGAAATCGTTAGGATTGGAAAAGTATTCTGGTGGAAGATTGAGTCGTCTGTTTAATTTAGCATTTGAAAAATTACTCAAAAACTATGAACTTTGTAGAACAGCAAGTGGCATTGTTTTAACTGGACTTGAATTACGTACAACAAAGAATGATCCATTTTTGACACGTAAGATATATATAACACCATCAACCATTCTTTATGAAGGTCCTTATTGTGAAGAAAAATGTGCTGTTACGCGCGAGTATGTTCAATATCAAGATCGATTTCTTCGCGTAACTTTTCGTGATGAAGGTAAGACGATCGATTTTAAGATACTGCTTTAAATTTTCAATATAGACTATCGTGTATTACATAATTACAACGATAATATGGCAAAGATGTATGAACGCATTAAAAAAATCTTGAAAAACGGAATTAATGTATGTGATCGAAACTATCAATTTTTAGCTTTTTCAAGTTCACAATTACGTGAACATTCTTGTTGGATGTTTGCTTCACCAGACGATCGTACAACAGTTGATACTATTCGTGAATGGATGGGTGACTTTCGAAATGTTCATCCTGTAGCCAAGTTAGCTGCTCGTGTACATTTCATAAAATATTTATTTCGAAATTTTGAGTATCTATTATCTTTCTAGTTAGGACAATCATTTTCAGCTAGTATTAAAGGTATTCAGTTGGAAAGTCATCAAATAAAGGAAATATCGGATGAGAAAAGATGCACAACAGAAATAAATGGTATTCATGAATATTGTTTCACAGATGGTATTGGCATTATTTCTCTTCCATTGGCCAAAAGACTAGCTAGAACTATGAAATTACCTGAAACAGTTTGTCCATGTGCATTTCAAATTCGTTGTGGTGGCTATAAAGGTAATATTCTATCATGATAAAACTATTACAATATAATTTTAAAGAATAAAAAAAAGTAAACGATCAAATAATTTATTATAGGTATGGTTTGCTTGGATATCACTTGTCAGATTAACAATCCAAATATAGATGTTTACTTTCGTGAATCTATGAATAAATTTGCTACAAAAACTCTTTCTATTGATGTTATACGTACATCATTACATCCAACAGTTGCATATCTGAATAGACAAATAATTTTACTTTTGTCATCTCTTGGCATTAGCAACCAGATTTTTCTTTCATTACAAGACGATATGCTAAAAATGTTAAAAGCATTAGAAGGTAATTTTCTTGAAGCATGCGAAATATTAAAAAAACTGAATAACTTTGATGAAAATGGTTATCATGGATTTTTAATTTCATATTTAAAACATTTACGTGAACAACGAGATCCATTTGTTCGACAGCTTATTCGTATTATTCGAACTTCTCTTGTTAAAGAATTACGAACAAAAGCAAAAATTTTTGTACCAAATTCATGGTCTTTATTGGGAGTGGTAGATGAAAGTCGAATACTCAACTATGGTGAAGTTTTTATTCAAATCGATTCTAATAATGAGCAAAGAGATGAGTCAACAAGAGAAATTTTTCGAGGTCCCGTAGTAGTAACAAGAAATCCATGTTTTCATCCAGGTATGGAATTAATAACAAATAATAATTGAATTAATTTTGTAGAGTGACTTTTAATGTATTCCTTTCTTTTTGTTTTTAATGGAAAGGTGATATTCGAAAACTGACAGCAGTCGATGTACCTGCTTTACACAGTTTAAAAAACGTTATTGTTTTTCCTATGAATGGACCTCGTCCTCATCCTGTAGAAATGTCTGGCGGTGACCTTGATGGCGATACATTCTGGATAAGCCGTCATCCAGATTTAATATTCAAAGAAAATGAAGATCCATTTGATTATCAAGATCAAGATCATGAAGCTAATAAAATGCAAACAACCAATGATGTCCAACATACGATTGAAGATGTTTGTAATTTTTTTGGTGAATATATTGCAGCTGACAAGTAAACTAAAGAATTTTCATCTTAGATTAATCAATGGTATTTGTTTTAGTCTTGGTCTTATTGCCAATAGTCATCTAGCTCTTTCAGATCAATTAGAAGATGGCGTCCGAAACAAAAACTGCCTTCAATTAGCTAAAATGCATAGGTACGTTAAGATGAATCTATAATCACTATATGTTCATGATATTATAGTTAAGTCAAAGCATAAATAATCTCTGATGTTTTGCTCGTTTATAAATAAGGCAAGAAAGCTATATATATATTACCGTTATCACTACGAAAATACTCTGTCATTTTTTCCGTTAGCTTGGGAATTAAAAAATCTTATATTATTGAAGAAGTGTTGTTTCGTTTTTGAAAGGCAATACTTATGATCATAAGAAAAATATATCGATAGAAACCATAGCGGTACACTCTTAAAATCCACTGGTCAAAACTCTTCTTGAGCATAAATATGACTTTTTTACAGTCTTTCTTAAAATCACTTAAAAAAAAGCTTTTCATTTAGAATTTACTGAAAAATTTTCATTCACTTATAAAGCAATTTTGGATATTGCCATACCATCATTTCACGACTAACACGTATATTCGAATTTCTAGGAATCAGAGCATACTTAATAAAAAGAATCGCACAAGTTTTCAGTCGAGTCTTTCCATTCAAAAGAACCAACTCCATTACATACAACCGACTATTCAGTGATTCGATTAATGTCTGCAGTATTTTGATATGAGAAAATTTAAAATAAAAAGCTTGATGTTCTTGGTACACCATTATGGATATAGGAGCTTTCTCGCAATAAAATTCTTCAGAGCTAAGTTGTCAGATTGTCAAGAACAACTCATTATACATTTGAAAAATAATTCAAAACTAACTTTAGAAATATTTATATGCAATTAGTCACTGAATCGAAATTTTTGGAAAATCAAAATTTTCAACTTCACAATATTTTGAATACAATGTTCATGAAAAAACAAATGTTAAACTTAAAATTATAGACATTAAACACGCTTGTCCATATATTAGTTATTGAAAGTCAGCTATAGCTATTGCACTGATATCTACAGATATTATATAAAATTATTTTTCATATCTCCTAATAAGCTGTGTCAGAAACACGGTTAAAATTTGTACCTATTTCTATTATCATCTACGCTGTCGTTCTACTGATGGGTTTGATCTTTAATCGTAATTCTGATATTATGAATATAGTAATGTTTGTTAGAAAAGTTCAAGTCATATTTCTCTTTTTGTATAAAGTGTGTCTGTAGATTTTGCCAAAAAAGGAATCAATGCACCTCATCTTACAAAAGAGCTTCGTCCTTCACAATATCCACATTTTATGGAAAAAAACGACAAGCTAACATATCGTTCAAAATCTATTCTCGGTCAACTCTATGATAAAACTCCGTTTTATAATAGCGACATACATATTGATGAAGAAGAAGAAATCAGAGCAACATCATCATTTCCCTATAAATCGTTTTTTATTGCTGGTAGCAAAAACTATATAAAAGATGCTCGAATTATAAAAGGTGAATATGACCGAGACATATTAAGAATCATGCGACAATATGGCATTCAAAATGAAGCGGAAATTGTATCAGGTTGCCTTCTTAAATTTACTTCAAAACAATATGCAAAAGAAACTAAAATTTTCGATTTAAGAAATGAAATTACACATGCATACAAAGTCATACGAGATAAGTAAGGATATGCACGAAGTTTTTTTTTGTTTTTGGATTTTTTGATTTTCTTTCTCTTCAGATATTTGACTCTCTTCTGGAAAGAATTCTATCAAGTAACAGATGAATCAGACGAGGAAAAAGTTTCATGGTCTGAGATATCGAAAAAACTATCTTGGAAAAATCAAGTTGATATATATGAATATTATAACCGAATGACACTATCGGACGCAGTCAAACAAAAAGCATCAGCATGGTTTCATACTACTTATGAGTCATGGATCAAACGTATAGAAACATATCGAAAGATCAACAACAAGAAACGAAACAAATCTATGGATAATCAACGACCAAAACAATTCGCACAATTCAATGGATTATTTAGTTTTGCTTGGTTAGTGTATCCTGTCTTGTTAAATATATATACTGAAGATGCAAAAGTATCAACAAAGAAACAGAAAAACAAGAGAAAAAGTGCACCTGTGAAACCTACCATTCAGACTAAACGGCCAAGAGTCAACCAGCATGACTGAAGTTCTCAGACACAAAAGAATCAATTATTCTCAATTAAATTTTTTATGTAATTATTACTATTATCTAAGTCGATCCGTCCAATTTTTTTCCAATAATCACAAGAAAAACCAGAAGTTACGAGTGTAAAGTCGGCATATTCCATCCAAAAATTCTTTCGAAAGGCTCTATTATGTTCTTTCATAGCTGGGTGTGGATGTGAGGGTCGTTGTCGGTGTTGAGCATGAGAGGATCATAACCACATCCACTGTACAACACAATCCAGTCCACCTACATCCACACCTTACTGTGTGTATTTTGTAGTGCCCTATTAGATGTAAAAAAAAAGCAGATGTGACTTCCGCAGATCAATCTCGAAAAGAAATGTACTGACATGTTTTTGCTACCATCAGTATTATTCGATAACTGGTATCATATCAATCGAATAAGTATTATTCCTTCCGTTCACCATCGAACCTACATTCGTTTGTAGTGATGGTTGAACAGACTTGCTTAGAACAGAACAGTTCTCATTGACTGTACGATAGTAAGAATTGCCACTTTTATATGCATACGATCCTTTGTCGGATGGAACCCAAACAAACACACTATCATTGTTGTTTGTATTACATTGCACTGGAATAGTTAACCATTGCATTGTTGAATCATCAGAATTAACTGTCTCACTCTGTTTAATAGCACCATCAGCATTAACTACAAACCTATGTGCTGTCCAACATAATCGAATTGTATTTGAGTCGAATGTAATTGTGTAGCGACTGTTTCAGCGCGAATTGGTAACCACGGGCATAATTTATTTGCTTTTCAGCGAACGCAGTATTACCGTCTCGTTTTCAGATATTTAGTAAATTAGTTGTATTGTCATATCCTTTTATTACATGTTGTTTACTACTGATACTACCAAAATTTGAAATCATTTTGGAAAGAATGGGTGTGGGTGTGGGTGGGTGTGGATGGTAATTAATACTACAGAAACACACCCATATCCCACATCCCACACCCACATCCCACACCTACCCATACCCACACCCACACCCTCAACTACAAAGATACACAAGTTGGATTCATAGAATTTCGAATAACAGAAAGATTAATGCACTTACTAAGTTAAAATCGTTACCAATTCTTCTAAGTGTATCAGCAGCTATTTTATGTTCAATATTAGTAAATTCTATGTTGTTAGCGCGTAAAATAATGTCATGAAGTCTAAACATAAGAAAAATATGTGCTTTGTTTTTTATTGAAAGTACGAATGCTTAGGAATTCACTTTAATTGTTGATTACGATCAGCAATGCCATCTTCAAAAATTTTTTAACAACAATAGATCTAGAAGCAAGAGAACCATGAACATCAGCTCCATCAGTAATGGAAATTCCCCAAGGATGATTAGATGGCTTGAATAAACAAATAAAAATCAATAAATGTTTCATTTTTGCTTGTAACTTTACTCGTTGAAGATTAATTTCGATTTCTTTCCAGTGATTATCATAATTAAATTGTGTTATATGATTAGTTGAATTGAATTTTGATGCACCTCGACGATTTTCATGCACTTGATCATGTCTATTAGCTATCACAGTAAGATAAATTGATATTTTCTTTCCTAATTTTATGATAGAGTGTAGGTACGAATATGGTTGATGATCGTATTTTCACGCATTCACAACCTCAAAATGCTAAATATGTCAACTGAGTAATGATGTAAAAATCAGAGCATGATATGATTCTTTCCTTCATAAGTTGTACTTTCGTAAAAGCTATGCTTGATAAATCATATCTTGATGTAAAAAACTCAGATTAATCGATTTTGGCCATGCATTCTCTTTGTAAAATAGCGCTACACCACATGTTTTACATTAAAATTCATCAGCTCAAGCTATTTTCTTTTCATGATGTAATAGTTTTGTTGTTCTCGTATTTACCAACTGTATGAGATGCTAATCATGAAAATTATGAAATCAATTCCATAGTTATGGTGTTTTCGAAATAATGATTTTCTTAGAATCATAAAGTCAGCAAATATACTGATTATAACTTTTTTTTGTGTGGGAATAATGTATTACAAGAATTCCTTCCCAAAATATTTTCTTACAGATCTTAGTTCAAAAGAACCTTTTAGAGCTAGCATTTCTAATTGGCATAAAATAATATATGGGACAAAAGTTCGCGACATATCAATATATTTTTGCAGCTACGCGAGCAATTTTAACAAATGTTTCTTTATCAATTGTAGAGTTTGTAGAGCTTTTCACGCTCCATCTTGTGGTGTATTTTATTTTCTTAATAACATGCATTAGGTAATGAAAAAAATGAAATGAATTATATGTGTCGAAAAACAACAATATTTTCATAGCGTCGAAAATCGGTCGCACAGATTTTGCTTTTTTTTAAAACAAAAAGTGCACAATTAAAATGAGCTGTAGTTTGCAGATTGTAGAGCTTTTCATGCTGCATCTTGTGACATATTTTGCTTTTTAATACAACATATTGAGTGAAGAAAAATTGAAATGCCAAATACGACCGTGTAATCTGCTCCACCCATTATTTTTGTGAGAACCAAAAACACATGTAACAAACTTTTGTTACTAACTCTCTTAGTTCTTGAGCTAGAACCTTTATTTTTACACAGTAAGTACACTTTTAAATGCTCTTTAAAATGATTAATTACTGATTGAAATTGCTCAAACAGTTGTAAAAATACATCGATAGGAAAAATGAAGCGAACTTTTATCCCATGCTTTATTTACGTTGCTTTCTATACGTAGAAAAAGACTATACGACAATCAATGTTTAATTACTCAGATTTATTCAATCATTCTAATCTTCAAATGGATTAATTTTTTAAAGATCATTTCCCAGCTACAAAGCAGTATCCATAAATTTCAATACGATTGTAGAGATTTGGAAGTAAAGTTTTGACAAGGAAAATTTTAACATATTCTTTATGTAAATATACTGTAATACTTACTTCTCAAGTAGGAACATATTCTCAACACTTTGTTTGAGCGCATGAGAAAGTGTCTTAAAAATGTAAATAGTGAACGTTTTTTTGTGAAACACGATCTGAAAGGAGTGTTGAAGTGTTTAGGGGTAGAAATTTGGACCCACTCCCCCCC